ATCTTTATTCTACCAGAAGTGTACGGACGCAGGAATCTCAGTAGATTAAGAAACTTGCCTTGCGTAGAATCGAACCAACTAGAGCTTCATAATCCACCGAATGAAGCGCATTCTTTAGGTCAAGGAACACGGTAAATTTGATTTACGTGTGGCCTAGCTCAAATGCTTGACGCAACATGAACATTTGATCAATGCAGCCAAGATTTGATTGTTCGCGGATATTCGAAAATCTCAAAGGTATTTTTTGGCGAATTATTACAAATGCTCTAACTGTCAAAGTGAAACTTGGTTCACGGTGGTTTCCGCAGTTGTTTCACAATACCTTTAAAACAATATTAATTAGTTATTCGTGCTAGTATGTGTGGTGGTGGCGCCGTGGTTTAGTCGCTGTCACAGGCTTTGCACCCTATGGTCTGAGGTTCGAGCCCCGCCACCCAACTTTGGTTGTAGGCAGCTCTGCTGTCGTCCGGTTCAATACCACGCCTAACCTATCGGGGCCTTATGTAGTTCGCCACTCCAAGTCCCGGGGCGTAGGTTGCCGGTTTCCACCACTGAACAGCAGGTCCTCATGACTATGGGGTTCGCCCCCTCTGCTTCTCATCAGGTGTGTAAGAACCAAAAAAAGAAAAAAAGCAGCTTCACTCCTCTAACCGAATGTGATGCATTAAAACTGTAATTGCTTCTACGAAGGAACCACTTCCCATCTGTAAGAGAGGAGGTGCCCATCAGATGAATCTGCACCTCATGGTTTCTCCGAGTGAACCATGAACCAGACGCTTAACCCTTAGTGGACAGCCGAAGTTTCTGGTCGCGTCAAAGTTGTCTCATGTTAAATACCAATCCAACGTTGTTTGTGTGTGCCAAAAGTTGATGCGAGATTCTTGCTACAAGGGAAATGTAGTTACCAAAGCAGTCAACTCTGTTCTTCTGTATTGTTTTCCCTGTTAGCCTGAAGTTGAGAGCTGAGTTGCTCCTTACCATTAAGCCATTCGGTTGACTGTCAGTACCTTCCTGCCTGGACCACGCAACGCAATAATTTATATTTTTATTTACCTAATGTACACCAAATGAACTATCCGTTTTCCAAGGAGAAAGATCCTCACAATGCAAACTTTGAGCAACTGTGGTCCCATTTGGACACGACCTACTGACCGATGCAGTGATCTATACCGCTTAACCGCACCCTAATGAATCATGGTTGCATGACTGTGACGTAAACTAATTACCTATTCTTTTAATTTTCGTTTTATTGAACTTATTATACCACGAGTTTTTATTGCTGTCTGTTTCTTTCAGTTTCATTACCACAGCTAAATGGTCAGGTACTTCCGAATCCGGCCGGAGGCAATGGTATTTGGTCACCAAATCAGGAGGGATGGAGTTCTATTTACGGCAACAGAGTTCCCGGTTCCCAAGTTCCTTCCGTACCAGGAGGTTACCCATCTCAACCGAATATCCTTACCTCTACATGGCCTGCGTGGGAGCAGAATCCGAATATTCCAAACACCCAATCAACCACTGTAGGTTGCCTGCAGAACCCCTCTCACCAGACCTCAGGGGCTCTGTGTGGCAGTGTACCACCGCAAAATCCAGCCAACAGTTCTGGTACGGCAATCAGATCTGAAGTGAATTCAGAGAAGAACTTGTTGTATCAGTTTCAACCTGGCCCTGTTGGACCTTTAGTAGGATTAGCAGGAGGTCAGTTCCCCCTTCCATCAAGTATAGTTTTGTGCAGCTGCTCACAATTTATCTTTTCTTTTGCACGACCTAAGACTGCATTAGAAAGAAACGTAACGAACTTTCTCTTCGTTTAATACAGCCTCATGTAATGGATGCGGAAAAGAATCTCGCTACTCATGAGTAGGTGAAAACGCTTGCAATTATGTAATGAAGAATGCCTGTATTCTTCCTAAATTTAGGGGTTAAGCATTCGAAAAGTTGACTATTAGCCATCCGTGTTTCCAGATCTATAGTGAGCAAACTCATAAAATGGTTACTTATTTTTCGGTATATTTTCTTTATGATCTCTCATAGCTCAATCTTTTTGGTTGATTTCTTTGTAATACAATGGTTTTAGTGTTTTAGTGAATAAGTTGACTGCGTTATGTAAAGAATGACAAAAAGAAAATCACAAATTAACGTCACTAATGGAATGTTTGAAAAGAAGAGTGTTTCTGAGGGAGAGATTACAAAGACGAATAGTGAATTGGTTGGTTCTTGTGAGTGTATTGTGAATGAGATGGGTGTTATGAGAATCAAAGGCGTAACCACTAGTGGAAACAGGTGCTGTGTGTTTCAAGTCAAATGTGCCGGGTGTTTGATAATTACTTAGTCTAAAAATGAATCGCCTCATATATATATATATATATATATATATTCACTGGGGNTGGGGTGTAGAGCTGGTGAAGTTGTGTGAACAGTTACAATTACTCTTCGCTTTATTTTCATGGATCTCTGATTCACTGTGATCTTTTTATTCATTGAAATAGAACCTTATGATTTTCAAAACCTGCTTACTCGCCTTTCCTGTTTCCAAGCTTAATGATCAGGATTCGACTGCAATCCATGGTTTCTCTCACGTCCAGTTCTTAAGTAAGTGGTAACAGTATGGCGATTGTAGGCAGGTAGTTTGAGTCTCTGTCACCGTCGTACTTTGGGCCCTAAGATCCTAGTTTGAATCCCCGTGATTGCTACTCAACTTTAGTTTTAGGCAGTTTCGATGCCGTCCGGCTCAATTCTTCGCCTGCGTTAGTAGAGCCTTATGTGGTTCCCCACTTCAACTCCCGGGGATTGTGTTGCCAATCCCCACGAGTGGACAGTAGATCATCGTAACGATGGGTTTTATCCCTTATGATGTTCATGACACAGTACTGTGCAATGAAAAGCTCACCGTAAGCGAAGTATCCAAACGTCTGATGTTCTACTGAAGTTCAAAGGTCGTGTACTTTGTTAGTCTGAAAACTTGCTACACGTGCCCGACAATTGTCTGTTGTGACATGTCGTTTGTGTAGTCGCTATCAAAGATGGAACAAACCATGGGAGGAAGACCGTGTGATGTAGACACTGCATGAAAAACAGACTGGGTGTCTCATCTTCCAGATCGGGATTCAAAAGATCTTGCAACCGACTGGTAATACCAAAGAACATGACAGTGAACCGAAAACATTTACTCTATTGTCATCAATTCCCACCAGATGTGACAGGTTGAACGGTTAAACCTTGATCCGAGTACTGATTTGCTTGCTCATGTGTGCTCTCTGTGCACAGTGTAAGCTTGATGGCGATCCTTCCCCTTGATCTCATCATCCACATGTGACTCCTTTGCGCTACTTGCTCGTCCTGTGGCTTTGAGGTGATTTTTCTTTAATCATTTCACACAAGTTATAATCTTTCGGTTGAATGTGCAACCTTATTGACGATGTTGCACTTTTGAGAACTATACAGATCCAACTAATAGCGTAAGCAGAACAGAAACATTAAATTTTGTTTACAACATATTTGGTTTCTTTCCGTATAGTTGTCTTTTTTAGCCCGTAGATAAGGGTTTTCGATTCAGACCTTCTGACGTACCATTCAAATGTGGTTAAATATTCGTTCGGTCCTTTTCTCATTTCTATTGTTCACCCCTTTCATTTGTGCCTTCCACCCACCCACCCCCCCTCCTCCGGGTCAACTCTGTCTTGTTCATCTTGGTCGCATTCTGAATGGATGTTCTCAAATCTAGCCAAAGGTTCGTTTCGTTTACCTGCTTGCCTTCCCGGTCTCCGATTCCGGGACTCGCCATTTTTCAAAGAGATCGACATCCTATTGACACCGCAAATCATTACACCAAATCACATCACCTTTGCCACAGGTCGACGTTCGTATGATCGATCGTTGGCCTTACGCTTCACACCGGATCAGGCAGAGACAATCACGTATCACTGGTAACTTTGTTTTCTTTCCCATCGCCACCCCCTCCACCTTTCGAGTATGAGTGATGTGTATCAAGTTAAGTCAAGTATGTGCTTTATGCACCCCGAAAGGCGCATATTCAGCGCGTCAGAAGCAGCAGTAGAACCAATAGGCGAGCAAAATTACACCAGAAGTATGAAAAGCAAGGACAAGACAAACCAATTTGCGATATGAGTCGGTTTAATTCAAAAATTATGTGTTTTGGCTTACCAAGAAGTCGGGCAAATGAGGCACCACAGAAAACCGACAGGCGGTTATGCGAGCAAATGTACAGTAATAGCGGGATCGAGTAGAAAAGGGGGACACAAGCTTTAAAAGATTTGCGGGTAACAAGTGCGAATGGTTGCTCATGATTTTTGTGGACTACGAAAAACGATTTGGTCTGCTGTGAGACGATGAAGTGCCAAAGAATTTCATGGTAAATCCTGCTGCGTTCGGATAGATGTGCCAAAGATCTGGAAAGGAACTTAATGTCCTTCTTGAGCATTTCGGGAAAGATTACAGGGGATCCGTACAGCCAAATGGGCCAAATGCAAGCATATGGAAAACGGTGGATCAACAATCCAGGGACGGAAAATCTGAGGCGTAGGATAAAATGATGATTTTCTGACCTTTCCAAATACAGAGATAACTTGGTCAGACCAGAGTGGTTTTCGGCTGATTAACACACCGAGATGTCTAGCATTTACGTGTTGGACGTTGGTATCATCACGTATGTTCGTTAGGGGACAAGATTCTAAGAGATTTGCCCAACCGTTCTCTTTGAGAATTAATAACAGCATCTCTACGCATTTAAAAGGATTGAGAGTTAAGTGGTGTGCAGTGGACCACTGAACAAGATTAGAAAGACGAAATTGAAGGATGGAGGTGATAAATGGATAAAATTAGGCGATTCCGACCACAAAATCGTCCGCGTATTTAATGAGCAGGGAATTTCGAAAAGTAAGCATGGATAAAATATAAGTGGAAAAGAAAAAGAGGAACAGAATGGCACTCTGTACTGCACCGACTATAGGAATTTAGTTAGCGAAGGAACGACCAGTTTATTGCGCGTGATTCTGCTGTTTTTTCTTTTCCCTTTAATATTTCTGTATGACATTTAAGTTTCTCTTTATGAACTGGCCACTGACTTTTGTTGTACCTGGAAGATATCAACAGTGCCTAAATTGTAATTGGCCTTGAGTGTAATCAGATAAATTTACGCCCAACACTGGAATGGATGTGTTGCGTGATCAGGTCCATAGAGCCAAATAAATCTGCTCCGCCAACAAGCTTCCAGATGAACGGCTTCTGATAGACAACACGTTAAGGGAAATGGCTATCCAGAAAACTCTATCAAAAGGCACAATACAACTGATTATCAGCCCCGTTATTCCACTGTCCATAAGAAATTGGTTTATGCAACGACTGATTTCAAGGGAGATATGCTGGCTGAAACGCTAACTCGTCGATTATCCCACCCCATCGAAAGAACGTACTTTGCTGCTAAACCTTCTCTCTCCTTTAATACGAAGTCTATGTTGCAGTTACAACTGAAAGATAAGTTACCTAGTCAGCCTACCTCATTTTGTGTGCACCTGCGGAGCGGAATACGTAGGAAGGACCACCAGGTGATTGTCAAAGGAGAGTCTAGAACACTGTCCAGCTTGGCTATTAAAAGGGATCAATAAAAATGCGACTAGTGCCATCCTAGCTCACGCACTTGACACGGGTGACGATCTGATATGAAAGGGGACATTCAAGGTCATCTACCGGGTAGCATGTAAAGGGGGTGAAATAGAGAATCCTGTCCACAGCCGAAGCGACCGCGACGAGGCTCAACCGACCAATACTGTCTTCGCTGAAACAGTCTGTCAAGACCCTAATGCTGCCGGGACCAGTGAATTGTGGAACAGACACACCAGTTTGACACATCCTTGTCTGGTCCATCCGGACACAGACCCCAACATCAACCAACACAATAAGTGTGTGAGCACTTACATCACGGATTCTCACGCTGTTGTGTCTACATGTTTGATTGCGTACTGTGTTGACCTGATGAGAAGTATCGAAATTTTGTTACCCCAATCATTGAATTTTGATTCTTAAAATTGTCACAGTAAGGTGCAATGTTAGTTAGTCCGATCACAGAATTCAGTACACGGCGTCCACCGTGACTTACAGCGGTTTTGGCCATCATGAGCTCACACAAGTAAGACACAAATGACTATGTGGGCTATATCTCTTATATTTCAAGCTTTCCGAGTATCAAATCAATACGTCCTTTCAAAGTGTCGCACTTTTCAAACTGTCGCGTTGACCTTATCTGAGTTTTCACGTCTACGCACTGTTCGAGCCTCATAACGATGTCCATACCATTTTAAGATTGATTTGGGAAACCATCACTTCGATTTGCGAGACCGTCACTTTGAACTAAGAAGGAAACGTCGTGGTTTGATCAGCTTCCGTTTCAGCGCACCTCATTGGTCAATTGATCACTCATTTTTCTCCCCCCTAACTGACCACCTGTTTTCCCACGCTCTTTCTGTGTTGAAATGAGGCCGACCTCAATCGTGCACTTTGTCACACTGGCTGACGGTGGGTCAATGATGCCGTGTGATTTGCTCGAGACAGCCAAGTTAGACCCGACTTGATAAGGGCGCTTATAAATCAAACAGGCCCACTTTGGATGCTGTTGCCTCCCTCGTTCATCACGTTACCAAATCCTTAGACGCATCTGCGAAGTCTGTAAGATGTGTTTTCTTAGATTTCTCATCAGCTTTTGACTCTGTTCCACGTTCCGTCCTTCTTCGTAAACTGGAATCATTTAGCTGTTCCAAGCACCTACTAGCGTGGCTCGTCGACTACTTTACAAACAGAACTCAGCAGACTCGGCTCGGTGGGAAAACGTCTAAACCA